GTCCTTTCAAAAGCTATAATATTCATGGAAATCATGTACCTCAAAATCTGGATGTTACATTAATAACGGTCAGTGTACTTGGAAAGTACACATCGAAATGATCCCAAAGATATAAGAGTTGTAATTGACTCCAACTGGAGGAGTTATAATTTTATAAAAAGTAAAAATCAACCGTGTTAATAACGTATTAACGTCAAAATAATATATACAAATCGGTTGAGTTTTGGCTAACGTCACTAAAAAGAAAATCGTAGTACTCCGAGAGATAAGAACTTTAAAAGGAAAAAAGTCAAAAACGGAGTTCGTATAAAGAAGATACGATTTTTAGAAAAATATGAAATACGGGTTAAAAATAAAAGTTAAAATTTGGCAGCGTAGCCTTAAGAAAAGTTGTAGTACTACTAGAGAGCTACACAAATATATAAAGAGGATAAGAAACAAGATTCATATGAGGAAGATATGATTTTTTATAAAAGATTTAGAGTTGCACGCCAAGTGCGCGCCATGCTCAACACACACGTCTGACACCCAGATTCTTCGAGATTGGAAAGACGTGGACCATCAGAAGTGTGACACGTGGAAAAATATGGATGGATCCATGAGTCGAGTGCATGACACGCACAAAGTGCTCTGCGTGCATAAGAACTATAAGTAGAAGTGCTCACTTTCTGAATTCTTCACATCCAAATCTCTCTCTCTCTCTCTCTCTCTCTCTCTCTCTCTCTCTTTTTCTCTCTTAATATATCTTGGAAATCCTCCCAATGGCGCAACACTTCGGTTGCAGTAGCAAGGACATCCCCGATCTCGCTCCTAAGGCGAGTTCACAGCCCCTTTTCACTATTTTAAAGGTTTTACCCGGGGGGATACATGCTTATTAAATTGTTTTATCAAAATATATTTATATCTATAAATATCAATCGTTATATAAAGCATGAAACCTTAGGATAATGTAGCCATAGATACTATACCTAGTTGTAAGCTATGATATTATGCCTATGAGTTATGTTGTCTGATAGTCTAGGAAAAGATATTACCTAGATGTTATGATGACGAATTCCTAGGTTAACATAGTACCTAAAATTAATGCTAGTCAACTATAGGGATATGCAATGTACCTAATCGTTACTCCGCCCAAATATCATGTTATAAATTAACCATAATTATGGTATATATGTGTATGTCAAAATAATATATATATATATATATATAATATATATATATATATATATATATATACACACACACACACACATAAGATAATTATGAGATCAAAAAGTTTTAATTATCGAATATGAAGTAAAAGAGTTAGATTGTGATAATAATAGGAAATCAATAAGAAAGAAAGATAAAAGATAAAACACCTAAGGTTAATACGTTAGTGAGCTGTTATTATTCATCCTTAGCCTGATTAAATTCGGCTACCCCGAACCTGTAATCGTTGATCTTGCGAGAGCCAGAAAGATATGTATATATCTATACGGGGATTGACACCCCCACCCGCGATTGCTAGCTACAATCCCGAAAGGATAACTTTCTTTATTATTTAGACACTATTCAATGTTCGATGAAGTGTCGTGTGGGGAAATTATTATTCTACAACGTCAATTATGGGGGCTCATGGTAATACATTACAACTACCTTAGAGATCCGACTACCTCCAGGGACGCTTTTTCAAGTTGTAAATAAAATATGTTAGGATTAATAGAATATCTTAAAATACAAAGATAATAAGATAGGATCGGTAAAATATATCCTACAAAGATAGTAAGATAGGAATGGTAAAATATTCTATAGAGATGATAAGATAAGATGTAACATCCCGATGTTAAGGTACTTCTAATCTTGGGCTTTATGATTTTAGTATGTTTCATTTTGGTCCATAAGTTGAGATATGGTAAAAAAAGGGGCCCAAAGTGGCTTTTGTTGGAAATTGGGTCGGATGAGTACGCCATGCGTACGTGTGTGTACGCTAAGAGTACTAAGGTGCGCCTTAGTACGTTGGGCGTACGAGGGTGGCATGCAAACCCTAATTTTAGGGCCTTGGTTCATATTTAAGCAACATTATAGACTCAAACCCTCTTCTTACTCAGCCTCCATCTGCAATATCGAACCTCAAGCAACCCCAGAGCAAAAGAGAAGCAACTTTGAGTCGTAAGTGAGATTTGGAAGAAAGAAGAAAGTGGTGAGAAGATCTTGGAGTTGAAGTGCACCTTGGATCTGGGATTGCTACTTGGTTTGGAACATCTTGAAGGTATAAAGCTTGCATCTTTACCCCATTTATCTTGTAGATCTAGGTTTTTGCTCTATTAAGTTACTTTTTGGTCCCAAAATCATGATTCATGAAGAAAGCATGTTCTTGACCCATTAAGTCGTCCTTTCAGACCTTTGGAAGGGTCTTGAGTCATAAAAATGGGTTCCAAATGGTTAGTTTTTCTCCATGCATCATTTAGAAGGTCTTAATGGATTAAGACCTTGAGTTAAGCACTTATTGGACATGCTAAGTCATAAAGTCGGAGACTTTATGACTCTTAAGAGTATTTTAGTCATGGATCTACAATATGGACCTAAGAGCTTTAGCCATTAAGCTCTTAATGGATGTTTTGAGCTTCTGGGAGTACACCCCGCGTACTCGGAGTACGCTCTGCGTACGAGGTCAACCACCCCGATGGTGGTCAACATTCGAGGACGCGAGTACGTCCAACGTACCTTCAGAGTATGCCCATCGTACCTTCGGAGTACACCCAGCGTACTCGCTGTGAGTCGATTCGGCTGAGTTGACTCGGTTGGGTTGACTCGGCTGGGTTGACTCGGCTGGGTTGACTCAGTTGATTTAGTTGGTTTGACAAATTTACCTTTAACATTGACCAAGTTTGACCTTAAGGGTATTTTTGGTAATTTGGGATTTTGATGGAGATTGGTTATTTGATTGGAATAGGTGTTGGTTAAAGAGCTGAGATTCGGAGTCAGGACCTCATCAGCTTTTGTTCAGTTTGCAAGGTGAGTTTTCCTCAATGTACTTGCAGGTCTAAGGCACCAAGGCCGACCCACTGGTTGATATCCTGATATTCACTGTTATGCTGAGTATGGAATAGATATTCATGTTTATGCTAGTTCTTGATATGCTAGTCTGGTAGATCTGTAGGACTAACTGTGATGCTATCTGCATGATTATTTGTATATGTTTATTATCTGTTATATGTCGACATATTGTGTTGGGTTGAGGTTGTACTGGTCCAAGCTATAGCTAACAAACCATACATTATTCCAAATATGAACTGAGGGTTGGGTAGGGCATGCCAGACTCATATTGAGGGCTCATGAGCATTCCAGATACGAGCTGAGGACCGGACGGTATGCCAGAATCGAACTGAGGGATTAATGGTATTTCAGTCCGATGACTAATCTGGTCAGGGAGCAAGCCAGGCATAAGTTGTGGGCCCAGAGGGCAAGTTAGACTTATGTTGTGGGCTCATGGGTAATCCAGTCTTTTAGCTGTGGACCCATTACATGCTATTATTGTATATGTTATATGGTTATGTGTTGGTACTTTGGGGAAACTCACTAAGCGTTGGCTTACAATTTTGGGTTATGTTTCAGGTACTTCAGATGACCACGGGAACGCAAAGACGTAACCGTACACATGCTCTTGTTTATGACCAATGGTTTGGGGAGACTCTGATGTTGGAAAATGTTTTGAAAAGTATTTTGTAAACACTTTATGGATTTTGGATGTATTTAAAAAAGTTTAAATTTATCATGATTTTTATGGTTGTTATATAAGAATGGTAAATTACCCCATAGAGATAGTAGGATATGAATAGCAAAATATCCTTTTTGGAAGACTTATAAATTACAAGATCCATGAATTTTTGGAAGAGATAATATAGTAAAGTATAGGAAATAAGGAATATAAGTAAAATGATCATTAATCATTGTAATAATTCCTAAAAGTTTCCAAAAAGAGTTTATTCTATGTTTAACTAAAAACCTGTAAATTCACCAACATTATGTTGACGTTTTCAAAATTACATGTATTCTTAGGATGGAGTAAGGATCAATACAAGGAAGGACATCAGTTTGAAGATAGATAGATAGGATTCATTTATTCCTTGTAATATACTTTATTTATAAAAAAGTAGTTATGGTTTGTGCTTTGTGATTTGGGTAATCTCTGTAAACACCGTCACCACTCGACATTTCCGCCAACGACCGGAGAAGATGTGACAAAGTCTCCATCCAAAGTTGAGATTAGGGAGTTGGAACTTGAAAATGTTTCACGAGAGTTGAATAGAAGTAAACCTAGTAAAATACAAACATGTTGTTAAAGTAGGAAACTAGATTTGAATGAACTTGTATGTGATAAACTTATGCAACACAATCATATGTAATTAATGTGGATGAAACCAATAATTATTATAAGTTTATTGTACCATATAGTATGTCACATGCTAGCCAATGAAGTCATGTCACTAATGTTGAACTTGAGGTATATGTGAGGTGTATAATATGACAGAAATGGACCAATGTTTTCAAAGGATAACACAAGTGGGCTAAGGTGTTCAAAGGACAACGCAACTGGAACAAGGTATAGGGGCGGACACAAAATGTCATAGTATGGGTGTCACGGGAAAGTCAGGGAGTCAGGGGTTGCACGATGGTAAAAAAAATCAAAAATTTTTGAAATTTTTTACATTGCGTCCGAAAAAGTCAAGGGTTGCACGGACCACCGTGTGCCATATACTAAATCCGCCAATGCAAGGTATGGAAGGATCGTCTATAAAAAGTTTTCATGCTAATTGACTATCTTTGAAGACAAAAAGTTAGAGACCAAACTCTATATTTTGACATACCACGAAAACCATTTATTAAGATTTGCCTAAAAATAAAAATTTGACACGATTTGTCCTATTATATTTTGTACAATATTGCATAGTTTTCCAAATTATTGGCACGAATATCATATACTTGTAACGTTGAGTATAAATATGTAAATTTCATGCATTTAATTTACAGAAATCCATCTTCTCCAACAAGGATATAAACTTTTTGTTTCTTCCTCACTCTGCCACGCTTCCCTTTCCTTTTGCCATCAGTCATTAAACCTTAAACCACACTACTAATCATATAAAATAGAAATAGAGATAAAATATCCCAACCACCATTCTCCGATCACCGTAATCACCCGTTAATCGACTCATTCCTGGATAAATATGAACCGCCGGCGACCCCTATTGACCGTTTTCATCTTCATCCACATCCTAGTCTTTTCTCAGACCCTGAATTCTTTCCCTTTCCCTTTCCCTTTTCCTAAAAAAGTTCACAAAATCGAAGGACCCATCAAAACCCTAGTCGTCTTAGTAATGGAAAACCGTTCATTTGATCACGTATTGGGCTGGATCAAGAAATCCCGCCCCGACATCGATGGGGTCACCGGCGAAGAGCACAATCATGTCAACGCCGCCGACCCTGCGTCTAGTAAAGTCTACGTTTCCGACGAAGCCGTTTTCGTAGACTCCGACCCGGGTCATTCTATCCAAGCCATCCGCGAACAGATATTCGGGTCTAACTTGACCCACGCCAACCCGGCTCCAATGAACGGGTTCGTTCAGCAAGCAAATACGATGGGTGTTGATGGGTTAGACCGCACAGTAATGAGTGGTTTCAAGCCGGAGCTTTTGCCGACTTACACCGAGTTAGTAAACGAGTTCGCCGTGTTCGACCGGTGGTTCGCGTCGGTTCCTGCGTCGACTCAGCCGAACCGGTTCTACGTCCACTCTGCAACTTCCCATGGAGCTTCAAGCAATGTAAGGAAAGATCTCATCAACGGGTTCCCCCAGAAAACAATCTTTGATTCTTTGGACGAAAACGACCTTACATTTGGGATTTATTTCCAAAACATTCCCACCACAATGTTCTTCCAAAGCTTGAGAAAACTCAAATTCATTACCAAGTTCCATGAGTATGATTTGATGTTTAAGTATCATGCTAAAAAAGGTAAGTTGCCGAATTATGTGGTGGTGGAGCAAAGGTACTTTGATGTGAATCTTTTTCCGGCGAATGATGACCATCCGTCGCATGATGTGGCGGTGGGGCAGGCTTTTGTTAAGGAAGTTTATGAGATACTGAGGGCTAGTCCTCAATGGGATGAAATGGCTCTCTTGATCACTTACGATGAACATGGTGGGTTTTATGATCATGTACCTACACCTGTCGATCATGTCCCTAACCCTGATGGGATCATCGGCCCTGAACCATATTACTTTCAGTTTGATCGGTTGGGGGTTCGGGTTCCTACCCTGTTGATTTCACCTTGGATCGATAAGAGCACAGTGATCCATGAACCCAGTGGGCCAACTCCATATTCGCAGTTTGAACATTCTTCTATTCCGGCAACTGTAAAGAAGCTCTTCAATCTAGACTCCGACTTCTTGACCAAACGCGATGAGTGGGCAGGGACCTTCGAGAGTTACTTCAATCTTCGTGATACTCCACGCGATGATTGTCCAGGTTCGTTTCTAAATCCTCAAACTTAAATCAGAAAATTAACTAAACGCAATCTGTAATTATTGCTATACAGAAACCCTTCCTGAAATTCAGGTGTCTTTGAGGCCAAGAGGACCGAATGAAGAACAGAGTCTCACCGAGTTTCAAATCGAACTAATTCAGCTTGCATCCCAGCTTAACGGTGATCACACTCTTAACACGTATCCCGAAATCGGAAAATACATGACCGTTGGTGAAGCTCACCAATACGCACACGATGCAATCACAAGGTTTCTGGAGGCCGGAAAAGCTGCCCTGAGAGCAGGAGCCAATGAATCTGCCTTTGTCACAATGTGATCCTCTCTCAGTAGCCGATCTTCACAAAGACGAATTCAAAGCTTTTAATTTCAAAAACCGTCAGTTGTATGTATAGAAACGGTTGCTTTCATGTGTGTACAATAATGGTTTAATTTAGATTTACATAGGGTTTTTTATTAGCCGCCGTTGGATTTGATGAGTGAACCACCGAGTTAACCCGGGTCAAATGGGCTGAATTTATTAATCCATAAGCCGATTCAAGTCACTGGCTTAGAATTCTCAAGCGGTCACACAATCCATGGGGGACCATGGATGTAACTATTGTTGTTGCCATGTCTTCTACTTGCTGTATTAATAAATAATAACTTATGCAAATTCAATATCATCACATCATTATATTTCCTACCTCACGACTTACACCCACTACTGTATATGCTTGTGTGTGAAACAATGGAGGTTTCATGGGAAACCAGTGTAACAGAATCAATCAACACCATTTACCTTCTCTTTTCAGCCTATTTGGTCTTCATATGTGGGATTGCGTTTGCTTTTGGAGACGGGTTAGGGTCGAAACCGGTTTATTGGCACTCAATATTTCACTCTAATAACATTCTTTCAAGTTCTTTTGACTATAGTTTCTTTCTTTATCAATGGGGTTTTGCTATAGCGGTTGCTGGTATCACAAGCGGGTCGATCTCTCAATGAATCATGTTTACCTTGTTTTATCATTTGTTTTCTAACCCGGTTAGTTTAGCCGGTTGTGGCCCCTTGAGTTTGGTCTTCTACAGGTTGACTAAACCCAAGGCCTACAACTTTGATGTTTGGGCCGGGTGTGAATGTGTGATCGACTTTGCAGTGGTGTGGTGCACTTGCAGTGGTATGGTGATTTGATGCTTTCGAGAAGCCTGTTCAAATGTGAGGACATAACGTGACTCTGGCGGTGTTCTAGACATTTTTGTTATGGTTCGGGTTCAACCCCCGGTCATTCACAAAATTTTTGTATCATGTTCCGTTAGTTTTGATCAAGGTAACTGTACCGCGGGTACGACACTAACAGGGTCGACAATTGACATCGTAATCTTGTTTGGTATACTGTTACTTGTGGGCCATTGCCCATTGGGATGCTCATGAAATGTGCAATGGCATGATTGGTGAGTTTGTGGCAATCACATTGGTTTGCTCCGAGGTCGAACCATGGGCTGCAATCGTATGTGGGTTCCTTGCGGTTTGTGTTTTAATCGGGCTAAATATTATAGCCTGAAAGTTGCATTACGTTGACCCATTGGAGGCGGCCCAATTACAATATGGATGTGGGCTTGGGGTTTAGGTGGTGTTTGTTTTTTGTTCGCAGATCTTCTTGGCCTCTTATGTCTGTGCGGCGCAGACCACGCGCAGACATTAGCCTTCGCAGACTGTTTGTTTTTTTGAAGACTGCAGACCTAAAAATGTATGCGCGCCCTCTTCTTGGTGCAGATGTGGACCAGAGTCTTCTAACATCTTCAGACATCTTCTAGCCTAAAAAAACACATATATATTTTTTAGTTTTTTTTAATTTATATTTATTCCAGCTTTATTAGTGATACACAATTTGAAAAAAAAATTACAATACTTAAAAAAAAGTTCAACAACACAAACATGATATTTTTGAAAAATTTATAAATAAAAAATTATTACAATAATGGTCGGTGAATTTGTTTATATAAATATGAAAAAAAATATATATTCTTATATTTTTTGTGCCAAATTTTATAAAACATTATTTAATACAACATCGTCAACTTCTTAGAAATATATTTATGGCACGTTTTTAATTTATTTAATTGAAAAAATTGAAGTTTATTTCCATCCATTTATATATCAAAATCTTTGATTCCTAATTACAATGTTTAGGCATAACTTTGCGACCAAAATTGTTGGTTTTTATCAAATATATACGTTAATTTGTATCATTTTTATTTTCACTTTTTGTACAATAATACATAGAAGTTTATTTAGATTTGTTAATTATTTATGACAAAGTCATAAATACATTAAAAAAATACTTTGTAGTTTAAAAAATCAGTTTATTTAGATTTTAGTTTATTTTAGTAGTCTGCAGATATTAAAAAAACAACAGACTGCAGGCGTTTGGTCCACCACTTCTGCTACAGAGGTTTACAGATGTGGTCCGCAGACTGCAGACATTTTGTCTCAGAAAAAACAAATAGCACCTTAGTTTCCACGAGCTTGTAGCTTGTTTGCAAAAGTGGAGCTTGTGGTTCAGACTTATAAATTTATACGAACTTATATTAAAACAAAAAAAAAATAACAATAATAATATATAAAATAAAGGAAAGGGTTCATCCCTACATGCATGAAAACCAAAAGTATGGCAAGAGAATATTCTATTTGATTCTCCGATTCACATGCACATTGAAGACAATTGAATACAAAGTTAACGGGTCCCGCTCAGTTAATTAAATGTCACAACCAGACGTCGCCGGTACCGTCAAAACCCAAACTTCAAACCGCCATGACTTCTTCTTTCATGAGAGTGATATTTGAGGTAATACTAACCCAAATAGAAAAAAAGTATAAACGAATAAGAAATATTATAATTTAAACCAAACAATTACTAATAAGTTTGGTTACTTTGATCAAATTTTGGGTATTTTAGATTGGACAAATATTATACAACCCTTAAATTTTTAACACGTAGTTGGAAAAAAGTCATAATATATATTTTTTATTATTGTTATGGTCACAACTTTCTCGCAGAATTATCACTCTAGCCCACTTAACAAGTTTCATGGTTAACTTTGTTAACTTTTTTTGCAAAATCAGTCCTAAAAAGTTCAAATTTGGTCCCCCATGTTTGTAAAAAATTACACCACATGGTTTTTAACTTTATTTTTCGTTTTTTGTATACTTTATTTATTTTTCGTTTTTTTTATAAATATATATACATTTTTTATTTTCTTTTTTTATATATACTTTATTTATTTTCATTTTTTAACTTTATTTTTCAACAATTTGATTTTTTGTTTACATTTTTACCTTTTTTTTCTATTTTAGTTATTTATGTTTTTTTCTAATGTTTTATATATTTTGATTCATGTAAACGAACTTGAATTCAATATAAATTACTATAACAAGTTTTTTTTATAGAGACTGACTATTATATTTTTTGTTCTTTCTTTTAGTCTATTATAAAACTGAAAAATATTATCTTGAATTTAAACTATTGATATCACATATAGAAATATGATTTAATTTACAAGTTATATCACACATTGAAACACTAATTCTCAATAAACAAGCTATTTTTTTTAAAAATTTTCATTTTTTTCGTAACATAAGTATAATAGCACTAAAGATCAAAAAATATAAAAAGAAAATAAGGTTGACCAAAAATTACAAATATAAACATAATTATTTTATTTACTTGAATAAAAATAAAAAATTACAAAAACTATAAATTATCAAAATTTAAATATAGTCTAATATATTAATACATTTTATATTTTTTGAAAAAGACAATAAAAAGTTAAAAATACAAAAAAAAAACAAATAAGAAAAAAAGTAAAAAAAAATAATAAGATGAAAAAATTAAAATATAATACGAAAAGAAATATGAAAAAAAAAACTCTAATATACTCTATATATACACTAAAAAATAGAAAACAAAAGAAAAAAAGGTAAAAAAAATCAAATTGTTGAAAAATAAATTAAAAAAATAAAAATAAATAAATTATATATAAAAAAGAATATATATATATATATATATATATATATATATATAAACCAAAAATAAATAAAGTATATAAAAAACGAAAAATAAAGTTAAAAAACGATGTGGTGTAATTTTTTGTAAGCCTTAGGGACCAAATTTGAACTTTTTAACACTGATTTTGCAAAAAAATTAACAAAGTTAACAATGAAACTCGTTAAATGGGTTAAAGTTGTGGCCATAACAATAATAATAATAATATTATGTGATGTTTGGTTCGCAGAATGTTGCTGAAGGATTTTTGAATTGGAATTGGAAAATGAATCTGTCAGGAATTTGAATCCAATTTCATATGTTGTTTGGTTGGCAGAAAATGGATTTTGAATTAATTTCAGATTCCGTTTGGTTCGCAGGAAATGGAATTGGAATTCATGTAAAATGACATAATTACCCTTTTTGCCTATTTTGCTTAATTTTACCTTGTTTTCCAACTTATATGTAAAGAGATATTATGAAAATTACAAAAACAGTAAAATTCTGGCAGTGGTGGCAGTGGCGGTGGTGGAGACGACAGTGGTGGGTGGCGGTGATGGTGGAGGCGACGGTGGTGGTGATGATGGCGGTGGCGGAAGTGGTGGTAATGGTGGCAGTGGCAGTTGGTGGCGACAATGACGACAGTGATGATGCTGGTTGTGGCAGTGGCGGCTGGTGGCGGTGCCCGGTGGTGGTAGCGGAGGTGGTGGTGGGTAATAGAATTGATAGTGGTGGTGGGTAATGGTAGTGGTGGTGGTGGTAATGGTGGTCGGTGGCGGCGACGACGGTGGTAATGACGACGATGGTAGTTGCGGTGGCTTTTATAATTTTAGTCCTTTTAAATTTTACTATAAATATATGTTTTGTTTTATTTTTATACATAAATATATCCGGGGCGGAGATTAGGGTTATCCCCATCCCTGTTTTTTTATTTGGGGATTTCCATCTCCGTCCACATTCCCAGCCAACTTGGGGATTCTCCGATCAAACTGGATGCTGATTTCGGGTTCCTCATCGGGTATTGGATTTTTTCCATCCCTATTCATTGGGGCGTCGTTAAAGTGTTAGTGATTGTGGTTTAGGTTAGTGTAACTATTTAGCTGTAAGAACATATTTGGTGTGTTAGATTAAAATGTACATATATATATATATATATATATATATATATATATATATATATATAATTTAATAAATCAATTTCTATTTTAAATTCAGGTACAATAAAAAATTTATAGAGTAAGTTATAGAAATGTTTTCTGGTTTGGTCGAATCCTCAGTTTTTGTCACTAAGTTTAAAATTTGATAGATCACATCTTTGTGGTTTATGAAAATTACATTGTTGGTCCTTGGTTTATATAAAAAAACCAAATTACCCTCTCTTTCTTTTTTCTTTTTCTTTTAACAATTATATATATATATATATATATATATATATATATAATATATATATATATATATATTATATATTGCTTTTTTATCTTTATTTTAATAGAATTAATATAGATTATTTATAAAATTATTTTTATTTTTTAAATCAATTATTTAAATTATATAAAATCATATTATTATTATTTCTTTTTTTTATTTATTTATCTTTGTTTTTGTGGTTTAAAAATCATTTAATATTTTTGACGTTTTATTTAAATATATTTTTATGTTTTAACGTTTTGTTCGTCCAATATAATTATTTAATGTTGTTTTTATGTGTTTTTTGTTTACATCATTCAGTTATATGTAGGGCTGTAAACGAATTGAGCGTTCGGTGAACCGTTCGTAAACTGTTCGGCGGGGAGTTCGTTTATTTTTGTTTATTTAATAAATGAAAGAAAATGAAGAACAATGGTCTTGGTCATTCATTTATGTTCGTGAACGTTCGTTTACGTTCATTTATGTTTGTTCGTTTAATTTATTTATATTCATTTATGTTCAATTTTTTTTTATTATATTACCACATTATATGTTCGTTTATGTTCATATATGTTTAATTGTATTTATTTATCTTTGTTTGTTTATGTTTGTTTAGTATGTTCACGAACATAAACGAAAGAACATTAGCCAAATAATTTGTTAAACGAACGGACACGAACAAGAAAAATCTCGTTCTATTCGTTCGTGTTCGTATCGTTTGTTCGACTAACTTAAACGAACGAACTAGACGAACACGAACGGATAAACGAATGAGATTTTCTTGTTCGTGTTCGTTCGTTTAATTAATTATCTTGTTCATTTCGTTCGTTTATGTTCGTGAACATACTAAACGAACATAAACTGATAAACATAAACGAACTTCCTGCCGAACAGTTTACGAACGGTTCACCGAATGTTCTGTTCGTTTACAGCCCTAAATATAAGTGAATAATGTAAACAAGAAACACATAAAAAAAACATTAAAAAATTATATTAGACGAACAAAACGTCAAAGAAAAAACAACATTAAAAAATATATTTAAATAAAACGTCAAAAATATTAAAAGAATTTTAAACCACAAAAACCAAGATAAATAAATAAACAAAAAGTAAATAATAATAATAATAATAATAATAATAATAATAATAATAATAATAATAATAATAATATGATTTTATATAATTTAGATAATTGAATTAAAAAATAAAAATAATTTTATAAATAATCTATATTAATTCTATTAAAATTAAGATAAAAAACAATAATATATATATATATATATATATATATATATATATATATATATATATATATCTATATATATATATAGAGAGAGAGAGAGAGAGAGAGTCAAGATGAAATAAGAAGGAAATATTTGGTAGGAAGGTAAGAAGTTTTTTTTCTACATATTTTTTTCGCGAACAAACAAAATAAATCATTAGATGATTCATTTGTAAGATGATTCACATAAAAAAATTCTCAAAAAAACATCTCGATGATTCATTTATACAATGATTTTGTTGTTATTCACTAAAATTGTCAAAAAAGTGAATTTTTTCTGAATTTACTTAAAAATGAATCATAAAGATGTTTTTTTTGGGAATTTTTTCTTGTGAATCATCTTACAAATGAATCATCTAGTGATTCATTTATTTTGTTCGTCAAAAAAATATATAGAAAAAAAAACTTCTTACCTTCCTACCAAAAATTTCCTTCTTACCGGATCTATATATATATATATATATATATATATATATATATATATATATATATCTATATATATATATATATATATAAAAGGAATGGTTATATGGAAAACAAAAAAACCCTAAAAATTATAAAAATACATAGACAAAATACTTAGAGATCACAATTTTTTTTTTGAGTTTATATTCTTAAAAATAGCAGGTTTTATTATAAATTCGTTGAAAAAAAAAATTAAAAAATCGTTTTTTTTTTTCGTGTTTTATGCTTGTCAAATTGGGGTGAGCGCGGTGCGGTTATTGGCAAAAACCTCACCACTAACCGCAAATGCAGTTAATCCATTTTCAAAACGTTTGGTGCGGTTATTTTGCGGTGCAGTTTTGTTTTTTTTTTTTTTTTTTTTTTGTTTTGTTTTTTGTTTTTGTTTTTTTTTAGTTTAGGTTATTAACCGCATGGATTTAGTGTGGTTATTTTGTATGGTTTTTAACCGCTGTTTAGATTTCAAATGGTTTTAAAAGTTCACACATATTACTTATAATAATAATAATAATAATAATAATAATAATAATAATAATAAGACAATTAACTTAAATCACAAACAATTAATATATATTAAAAACGTGAAATCACTAGTAATTAACACTAAATATCTTAAAATTGCGAAATTTCATCATTTTCCAAAGTTAAACATAACAAAAAAAAAACCAACACTTTTGTCTTTTAGAAGTTTATCCGTATTTCATCCATGAAAATTATCTTATTTTGAATATTTAATATATTAATAATTAATAAAAAATTGTATATAATATATGGGGTGCGGTGCGTTTTTTTTTTTTTTTTTTTTTTTTTTTTTTTGCTGTTTTTGAAAACTAAAAACCGCACCGCACCACAAATTTGTGGTTTTTGAAAAATAGAAAACTTCACCATCGGTTTTTATTGTGGTTTATACGGTTTTTGCGGTTAATTTGAATAGCGGTGCAGTTTTTGGTCACCCCTACTGTCAAACACAAATTTACCTATTTAAACACATATAGTCACAAATTAAACTCGTGTCAACATGCGAAACGTATAAACACTAAGGATGTCAACGAGACCAAACGGGGACAAAAATAACTGCCCACGCGCCCGAATTCGTCTGTTTCATCCGACTCCAATCCCGACCCCAAAAACACTTAAAAACTCACGACAAAGTGTAGGCTCAATTACTAGTTTTAACTAAACGTGTTGAAGCTAATAAAAAAAATCATTGTTTCTTCATGTAAGGTTAGACATGATAAATTTGCATTTCATTAAGAAAAAAAAACGTTAGAAAGCCTTTAACAAATTCTTTCCTAATCTATATAAACGATTTGTGATAACTTACTTGAAATGTAAAGATCGCATAAAGTAATATGCTGGAAAAAGAAAGAAAAAAAACCCATTGTTGAGAATAGGTTGTTTCAGTTTTCTATCGTATGTGGTTTGGTGAGAACAAGAATAGACCAGATCTTGTTTGACTGATGATCGAGATGGGTAATGGGTTCCGGGGTTAGTATATAACAAAGACACCGGAGAGAGGTGGCGGCAACAGTTGCAGCGATAAAGATGGTGGAGTAGATGTGTGGCGGTGGGACATGCTTTTGTTAAGGAAGTTTATGAGATATTGAGGTTGGGTAGACGAATTCAAGGCTTTTAAAGTTCAAAAATCGTCACTTGTATACAATTTATAAATTAACGTTTGCAACTTTCCTGTGTGTATAGCGTTCCAACTTCACAATAGTGGTTTAAATTAGATTTACATGGGTTTCGCCCCATCGGATTTGATGAGTGAACCACTGAGTTAACCCGAGTCAAACAGGCTGAGTTTACCTATCCATAAGCCGATTCACGTCACTGGCTTAAAATTCTCAAGCTGTCACATAATCCATGGGACCACGGATGTAGCCACTGTTGTTGCTATGTCTTCTACTTGCTGTATTAATAACTTATGCACATTCAATATCATCATATCCTCCTCATATTTCTTACCTTTCGGCTTAAACCCACTACTGTGTGCTTGTGTGTGAAACAATGGAGGTTTCATGGGAAACCAGTGTGACAGATTCAATCAACACCATTTACCTTCTCTTTTCAGCCTATTTGGTCTTCATGATGCAACTGGGCTTCGCCATGCTATGTGCGGGCTCGGTCCGGGCCAAGAATGCATTGAACATAATGCTGACAAATGTAGTCGATGCAGTCGTGGGCAGCCTCTCATACTACCTATTCGGGTTCGCGTTCGCTTTTGGTGACGGGTCAGGGTCGAACCCGTTTATTGGCACTCAATATTTCGCTTTAAAAAACATCCCATCAACATCTTTTGACTATAGCTTCTTTCTTTACCAATGGGCTTTTGCTATAGCGGTTGCGGGTATCACAAGCGGGTCGATCGCTGAACGGACCCAGTTCAGCGCTTACCTTATTTTTTCATTTTTTCAAACCGGGTTTGTTTACCCGGTTGTGGCCCACTGGGTTTGGTCTTCTACTGGTTGGCTAAACCCAGGGTCAGCAACCTTGCTGTTCGGGTCAGGTGCAATTGACTTTGCGGGTAGTGGTGTGGTGCACTTGGTGGGTGGGATTGCCGGGCTATGGGGTGCTTTAATCGAAGGACCACGGGTCGGGCGGTTCGATGCTTTCGGGAAGCCTGTTCAAATGCGTGGACATAATGCGACTCTAGTGGTGCTCGGGACATTCTTGTTATGGTTCGGATGGTTCGGGTTCAATCCCGGGTCATTCAACAAGATTCTTGTATCGTATCCCGATAGTTTTGATCAAGGCAACTGGACCGGAGTGGGCCGGACCGCGGTTACAACGACATTAGCAGGGTCGACAGCTGGCATTGTAACCTTGTTTGGTAGACGGTTACTTGTGGGCCATTGGGATGCTCTTGACGTGTGCAATGGTGTGCTCGGTGGGTTTGTGGCAATCACATCGGGTTGCTCGGTGGTCGAGCCATGGGCTGCAATCGTATGCGGGTTCTTTGCAGCTTGTGTTCTTATCGGGCTCAATATTGTAGCCCTAAGGTTGCATTACGATGACCCATTGGAGGCAGCCCAATTGCACGGTGGATGTGGGGCTTGGGGGTTAATTTTCACGGGCTTGTTTGCAAAAGAGGAGTTTGTGGTTCAAACTTATAACTCGGGTAATTTAGGAGTAACTCGGCCCTATGGGCTTTTGTTGGGTGGTGGTTGGGGTTTGATTGGGGCTCAGGTCGTTGAAGTGTTGGTGGTTGTAGGTTGGGTTAGTGTAACCATGGGTCCGTTGTTTTACCTTCTACATTGGTTGAGGATATTGAGGATATCAAGTGATGAGGAGGTTGCTGGGCTTGATATTTCGAGTCATGGTGGTTATGCGTACCATGCACACCCAGAAGAGTCGGGTCCACGCTTGTATGGTGAATACCTCAGGCTTCAAGATCAATGATGATTTTATTGAATGGATTCGTATGATTTGATTTGTGTATATTATGTGATGTGTCCTTGTTTGTTTATGTTGTTTATGGTACTCTTTTGTAAATGTTGGCCAATTCTTCTGAATTTGAATATAAGATTATTGGAAACTGCCATGGTAAATAAGAATTTCTTTATGTAATAATAACTAGATATAAGACAAATACATGAGGACTTCTCTGACTTTCTTGAAATAAAGATTGAATCATTTTTAAAACCAACGTTCAAATCTCACTTTTTTACCCTTTTCTTGATCCATCTCAAAAAAGATTGAATCTTATGAGGGTTTGGAGGTCTCTAGGTCCGATATCGCCATGATACCATATAAAACAGAGAGAACTAATGGTTTTCAATATTCTGTGTATCCAGAATTAACAAGTTCATTATATAGCCCTATATGTACAAAAATGTTACAGGAAGCAATAAGGAAACAACGATATAAATTGGAAGGGATTAATAAAAGGGTAAGATAGGAAAGAATCAATAGGGAAATCAATCCTATAATTTGTGTTCATCATGTACAGCTCTCAGTCAAAAAAAGCAACAAACTCATGATCCAAACAAATCTAAACCATAAAGACCTTAATTCAGATGCCCCCAGTCAGTTGAGTGAGTCCACACCAATTCCCAGATATTAGGCCACGCAGAGTGGCATTCGGTGGTGAGGGTTAGCGAATCCGAGGGTAAGGGTTGCTCGGCTTCAATACTCAGCAGTTTCTACTGAGTTCAACATCCACTCTTCACTCAATGAGATAACGGCTCATTTTTTTTAAATAACTATAAATACATCCCTCACTCCTTCACATACCACATCAAAACCTTCTTCTTCACACCCTCTCTCTAAAAATGTTATCTTCATCTTCTTCATCGTTGGGATTTTTTTATCTGTTGCTCGAATCGTCCATAAAGGTCATTCAAGAGGCTGAACAATTGATAAAAGAACTACGTCAACAAAATGCCGAAAATGCTCGTCGGAAAAAAGTTCATACAAAGAAATCGTGAAGTTGCTCATCAATGCCTTGTGCAAGATTATTTTGAAGAACACGTGACTTTTCAGGGATATTATTTTCGGCGTTGGTTCTGTACGCACAAACATTTGTTTCATCATATAGTCAACGACGACACGATAGCATGTACATATTTCCAACAACATGTAGAGGCTAAAGGTACAGTTGGTTTTACTCCGGTACAAAAATACACCTTCGTACTTAGTCATCTAGCATATGTTGTTGAATTGTGGTGTTTAAGTTCTTAACTAAATTGATATAATTGGTTGAATAATTGTAAAGTCTTTTTTGAGTTGTCCTCGTAATTGGGAAATTCACATGGATTGAAATAAATAGAGAGATATAATTTATTAATATATTATGGGATTAATGTATTAATTAGAAATGGAAATTATTATGTAACACCTGATTTTAGTGATGTTCTAATTTCGAGACGTCAGGCCGGAATTTGATCAAGTGATGGTGTTGGGCTTCAAAGGAATAGGGTTTAGGCCATTTTCGGATGTTGGTAATGTTGGATTAAGTTATTAAAGGCCTCGATTTGTACCTTGAAGCAAAGGGTAAAATTGGAAAGGTGATATCTCAGGTTTCTTGCATGAACTAAGGATTTTAGTTCGATATGTTTTTAGTCAAAAATAACAAGATAAGATAGTGAGGCTCTTCAGTGCCTTTCTGTTCATATAAAGAATGCTTAAATTGGAGTTGAAACGAAGAAGTTATGACAGTTTGAAGTTGAATTGGAAGATGAGGGTTTTGCCCTATAAAGGGCATACGCAAGCTACGCAGGGTGAAGATGCTGAAATCATATCATGATTTTTAACGCGCTACGCATGGCGTAGCTGTTGCTGACCAAAACCTTAATCCTAAGCTTTTGGGCCCTACTTAAGGGCTCTAACTTCTTGGAACCCTTCTCATTACCAGCCTTCATCACCTTAAATCGTTCCTTTGAAACCCTAGCCACCAATTGTGAGTTTTGGAAGCATTAGTGTGATTTTTAGGTGCATTCTTGTAGGAGTCCATTAAAGAAGCAAGTGTGAGCTCCAAGCTTTGTAGATCCAGACCTTGCACTTCATCACCAATCTCCAGAATGTATAAAGCTTGCATCTTGATGTTCTATTTGTTATATTTAATTAGCTCATGGGTTTTATGCTTTTTGTCCCTTAATCTTGGTTCTTGTGAGTATGGGTTACTCTAGACCACTTGAGTGCCTTTTATGATGTTTTGAGGACATTGAGTCAGAAAAATGAGAGCTTGGGCACTCTCATCCATCCATACATGAGTTCTTGAGCAATGGATAATTTTATGGACCTAGGTTTTGGCATTGTGCTCCTTGTGACCATGCAAATGGATAAACTTAGAGACTTTATCCATTAAAACATTCATTTAGATCAGATTTGGGAGTTTGAGAGTTTGGCTTGTTGTATTATAAGCTTAATAGAAGTTTATAGGATCAGGGGCACTACGTAGTGATGGGTTTTGATAAATAAAATAGAGAGCTTTTCACGAAAAACCGGCAACAGAAGCTTTAAAATTTTCTAGTAAATTTCAAGTATATAACAAAAACAAAACCATCAAGGATCCTTTTAAAGAGGTTAAAATGATATAAAACAACCATAGGGTGTTTAGAAATGACAACCTTTAAAGCCTTTTGTAATGTCCAGATCGCCAGGTAAAACTTTTGCAATATATTTTTCACTATCCTTGGACTAGACCCAAGTACGCTGGGTGTACACAAGATACGCACGACGTACTCCCATGCATGTGCAAAGACGGGGCGTCCCTTATGTATAATGGACGTATCCATGCGTACGCAGGGCGTATGCGAGCCAAGTGAAAACCCTATTTTTTAGGGTTTGCAATCTATTTAAGCTCACTAAACCCCTTAAGCCTTTCACCTTACCAGCCCTCATTGCCTTTTTGTGCTAATCTCGAAACCCTACTAGCCATCTTGAGAGCATTCTTGAGCTTACAAAGTGTTTTGGGTGTTCCTTTTGTGATCTTGAAAAAGGAGGCTTAAGGAGAAGCAAAGGACAAGAAGGAGCTTGTAGATCCAGAGGTTGTTCATCATTTCTAGCTCTTTGGAGGTATAAAGTCTGAAACTTTTTCATTCTAATTCTAGATCTAAGTTTAGGGAAAAACTTAGCATCTTTTGGTCCCATAAATTGGTCTCTTGGAGTATGGACTACTCCAGACCATTTGAGTTGTCCTTTTTGGACTCTTAGGGATGCATGAAGTCATAAAATTATATCTTGGAGGTTGGAACTCTACCATGCATGAGTTGGTGATCACTTAAGGAAGATAGAAGGCTTAATCTATGGTTTGAGTCCCATTAAGTCATGCAAAAGCATATAGTTTGCAACTTTATGGCTTAATATACTATAATGACCTTGGATCTGATTTTGGACGTCAAAAGCTTAATGGGTTAAGACAAAATCTTGATGGATGGCTGTCTGACCAGTACGCTGGGCGTACTCATGAGTACGTTGCGCGTACTGGGCCAGCACCCCAATTTTCGGATTAGCAGCGTACGTTGGGCGTACGGGTCAGGTACGCTGCGTGTACGTTTGTCTGTGGGCCTTTAGAGTTTTGGGCTCGGGATTTGCTAGGATTTTGCCTTGATCGAGTTTGGGACTTAGGCCTATTTGTAGTATCATGTCATTTGTGGGTCTTAGGCCATCATGGAGTTATTGGGCCCGTGTTGGGCCTAGGGGGTCCTTTTTAGTTGGACTCGGAATGCATTTTGGGCTAGTTGGGATTTGGGCCTTGATAGGGTAGGCCGAATAAGGAAGGGTTTAAGCAGCCTTTTTACCCTTAAGTCTGAATTTAGGGTTTGGACTCTCAGGTTAGATTATTGACCTAATTTATAATTAAGGTTTTATACTTGTGATCTAGTGAGAGGATTTCGCGAGTCAGCAGCCCGAGTGTCATTTGATATCTTTAGTCTGAGGTGAGTTTCCTTCACTGTATTCATGGTTCGAAGGCACCAATTTCGGCCCACTCGTTTATGTTTGTAGTATGATGATTGTCTTCATGACAATTGTCCGTTATGACCATACTTGCTTGATGTCTCTGTGACTCTATTGTTATGATATTATGTGGTAGTGGTAAGGGTGAAATAGATTCGATACCGGTTGAAAGAGATCGAAGGGGTTGACATATACTCGGTAACGATTGAAAGAGACCGAAGGGGTTGAAATATACCCAATACCGGTTGAAAGAGACCGAAAGGTTTGAAATATACCTAGTATCGGTTGAAAGAGACCGAATGGGTTGCAAGCACCCAGATATGTTTGACTGTTATGTATGTATGGTATGGGGTATTTTGGGGGAACTCACTAAGCTTTGTGATTTTGATTTCCAGTTTATGTTTCAGGTACTTCCAGCTCGAATAGGAAGGGTCCAGCCAGATCGCACTGCATCCACCTATGATTTTTCCGCATCACGTAATTTTGGGATTTTGTACTCTAATAAAATGTTATTATTATATGCTCTCGACTGTATTAATATGATTATCGTATGGTTGAAATGAATTTAAATATAAAAATTTTATCTGAATTTTTGGGATGTTACACCTTTGGAACCTCTTAGATTTGGGGTGTTAAAGTATATGGCAAGAACAAGAAGCTTGATCTTCTCTACAAGTAATCCACCAACAATAATAAGGTACCAAAAATGTTAGTTTTCTTCTTGTATCACTTTGTTCTTTAAGCCTTAAGTGCTTAACAAATTAAGCACTATAGGAAGACACGAAGTAAGCACCAATTCTTCACAAAACAAACTTCAAAAGAAGGAGATGGAGAATAGTGAAAAGCTACGACCTTTTGCTTTGAAGAAAAAAGAAAAAAAAACACTTGAACAACTAGCCATTCTCTCATGCATAACACATTGTTTTATAGTCCCATGTAAAGTAAGGTCAAACCATTATAATACCATAAAGTATTCTAAAGCATAAAGCAAATGGGACAAA